GTGGTTCGTTTGACAGTGGTTTAGTCCATAGCATGTGTTGCTAGCAGCTCTCTTGGTAGACTGGCTGCACTGAGCCTGTCAGAATAAACCGTGTAGTCATGGGTCGGGAGTCTGGTTTTCACTGGCATTGCTCTTGCGTATTTTCATCATCGTCTTGCTTTTCAGAACTTGTGCAATGGGAAATTCAGTCTGGCCCTTGAGATAGCGCGTGTGGGGAAGTGATCAGTGCACCCTAAATCACAGTGCAGATCTTAGATGTCATTTTTTCTCGATCCCAAAGCGTGGATTTCTAACTGATGGGTGTTTGCTGGCTCTGAATGCCATTGCACCCTGTTTTCCTGGAGATCAGAGTGTCCTTCTCTGCCACTGTCCTTTGTCCTCACTTGACTTATGAAGGGAGCAGGGGTGAATCTCGCCCCCCCTTTAAGGAAAGGTCAGCGGAAGCCCCAAAGAAGTATGTGACCTGCTCAAGGTGGTTCAGCGGGCAAGGCGGGAGAAGAGCTGAGCCCGCGCTGGTCGCTACCGGTGCCGGCTCCTGCGGTGTGGGGCAGGGGAGGATCTTGGCCAAATGATCTAGCGCCTGCTTCTCCAGGGGCCTCTGCTTTCTGAGCTTCCCATCACTGCTCGTCCCCATGCCTGGGAAAGGAGCTTGTCTCCTCTTTCAGCTCCCACTAGTGGTTGTGAGGACAGAGCTGCAAGCAGGGGAAACCACACGGTCGCTCTCTTCCCTCCTGCCCCCCCAGGGCCTGCACACATGGTGCAGGGGCTGTTGGCAGGTGCTTGGACTGCTTCCTCCGCTGATCCCAGCTGGCGTTCTCAGCTCCTCATTCCGCTAAAGCCCAGAGAGCTCGTGGCTCCCCTGGACTTCTGTCCTGGGCTTGGGGCTCTGGCTGGAACTTGTCCCTCTGCTGGACCAGGAACACCCACAGGCCTCCACCGCAGAAGCCAGGGCCTTGTGATTTGGTGACCCCAAGCTGGCTCTGTGGAAGGGGCAAGGACCAACCTCAGGACAGAAAGAGCCCGCCTCGCCTGGTGTTAGAAGGACTCGGGCACTTGCTTTTTCTGACTTCACCCTTGTTTTCTCTTAGCTGTTGAGCTGGGCTTTGCTTCCAGGTCTTTAATTTCCCTGTCTGTAAAATGGGCACTGCATGAACTGGGCCCTTGTGTAGGTTGCAGAGTTAATGGGGCAGGTTTGATCTGGTGGTCAGCACTTGCCGATGCAGATCATCATATAGAACACTGACTGATGCCTCGGTCTCTGGCGTCCGACCTAACTTGGCCACCGTTGTGCTGGGCAAATTTTGTCAAGTTCCTTGAACTTTCTGTGCCTCAGCGTCCTCATCTATAAAATAGGGGTAACAATGGTACTATCTCAGAGGTGGTTCTGAGACTGAGAGGAGCTAAGCAGTTAGGTCGGCGCCGCTCATAGTAAACTCCCAGATACAGGCGTTGCCCTTGGCACCCCCCCCCGCCCCGTCCCCGTGGCCTGTCCTTGTCTCTGTTCTGACAGCTTGGCCATCTGAGTCAGTGGAGGTCTGGGAGGAAGCGGGGCTGTGCTTGGTGGGGGTAGGAGGGCTGGCCTGGCTCACGGCGTGCTTCTCTTTTCTCTGACTCATGGTCTTTCCCAGAGAGCACGCAGACCCCTTGCCACCCCCCCCATACAGAAGAGGAACTGAGGGGTCGGAGCAGGGGTGACAGGAAGTTGGGCAGGACAAGGGGAGGGGGCAGAATTGTAAGAGATACTAGTTATAACAGCTCCCATAATAGTGCGGGAGCCCTGTGCTGAGTGTTTACATTCATTTATAATCTGGTGAGCTTGGTGGCAGTCACCATATTACAGAGGAGGAAACCGAGGCCTCCGGGGGTAGGTTACTTGTTGGAGGTCACACAGCTCTAAAGCTCAGGAGACTGGAACTGAGGAAGGGAGAGTGGAAGATGCTCTAGATTGGCTCTCACCTCCCTCTAGAGCTCAGAGAGTAAAGTATAAGCCATGTGGGAACCTCCCTTCTCTCTCTGCAGGCCCTTACTCTGAGGAGAGAGGAGGGCATGGGTCCACCTGGACTCTCCAAGGTTCCCGGATCTGAGCAGCTTCCAGGACGTCCAGGGTGCTGTGAGCTCTGTGTTCTTTACTGCTGATGCCGCCAGGCCATCGCCGCTCCTTGGCCAACGGTCTGAGTTGCATAACTCCTTGTCTTTTGTGGTTACCATGCAAGAGACCAGAACCCCAGGTGGGAGAATCCAGCCTCCAGGTGGCAGCAGCTGAGGCCTTGAAATGTCTGGTCCCTGGGCCGCCCTGCTGACCTCCAGATGCTTGGGCCTGGGCCTGCATCCCTCTTGGGCTGTGGCCTCTCACCTAGTGTCCACCCAGGTATCTCTGTCGGCTGTGAGGTCCTGCATGAGAGCATCTCTCAGCTGCTTCTTCCCCTAGAATATGATGATGGGTAACGTGAAAACATGGTCACGTGTGTAGACAGATAAGACTAGATGACAGGTGGTTGGAAGTGCCCCAGCTTGTGGGGGTAACCCCACTTCATTCTCTCCCACATGAAAGACGGCAGATGGTGCTCCAGTGATGGGTTCACCAGGAACTCCCTCTCATTGATAAAAAAGTAAGTAATTTGCAACAGGATTTGTGCTATTAGTAACCTGCATGGTGCCCAGGCCCGGGCTCTCACCTGGTTCTCTCTGTGCCCGGAGCAGTGCTGGGCCTAGAACTGGAGTTGGTGCGGGGAGGGACAGGCTGAGCGGCCCGCCGGCTTTTCTCACCTGTACTCCTGCACCCACCGAGCTCTTGATCTTAGTTGGAACTTCCTCAGTGGAGAGTGAGAGGAATCCTACTGGCTTTAGGAATAATGGGATATATACCTGCCTCTTATAGGCCCAGGGGTGGACTGGCTCCAGGAGTTTTGATGATGTCCCAGAGACCTGCTCTTTCTCCTGTTCCCGCCCCTGCTGTCCTCTGTTCTGTACGTCCATCTTGTGGTTTAGCAGCCTAGGCAGGAGAGAGGGTGTGCTCTGGGAATGAGGTCCACGGAGTTCTGCCCACTTCCGAGTGAGTCACTGCAGCCAGCAAGGTGGGCACCCTGGTTAGTCAGGCTGGCCAGGTGCTCCCTCTGGGGGTGCATGGAGCACAGAGCTGTTTTACCCAGAGGGAGGCCAAATGGACGCAGGGCAGGCAGGACCCCAGGCATCCATGCTATCTGCTGAGCATCTTCTGGGTGTGGGGTGGGTGCAGTGTGGGGAGAGGTCTGGGTGTGGAGCGGACATCTAGCGGGAAGCCAGTAGTCTGATGCAACCCCAGAGGGTGGGCCACACCATCCTTCCTTTCCTGGAGAAGGTGGGGGCGGAGGATGCGGCCGAACCGAGGGCCACCAGGCTTCTGCTGAGAGGCCAGCTGCCCTAGAGGAAAGGACCCCACGCTTGGCACTCATAGACCGGAACTGGGCCGGGCCCTGAAGCTGCTCCTGCGGGCCATCTCGGGAGCCACCTGCCACCCATGTGGCTTTCCCTGCTATGGAGGAGTCCAGAAAATAGAAATGCCTGTGCCCAGTTTATGAAGACCTGAGGTATAAGCTCTCCCTGGAGTTCCCCAGTGGCTACCCTTACAACGCGCCCATGGTGAAGTTCCTCACACCCTGCTACCACCCCATCATGGACACCCAGGGGAGCATCTGCCTGGACATCCTGAAAGACAAGTGGTCTGCCCTGTATGATGTCAGGACCATCCTGCTGTCCATCCAGAGCCTGCTAGGAGAACCAAACATTGATAGTCCTTTGAACACGCATGCTGCCGAGCTCTGGAAAAACCCCACAGCCTTTAAGAAGTATCTGCAAGAAACCTACTCAAAGCAGGTCTCCAGCCAAGATCCCTGACTGTCCAGCCTCTCTCTTTGTGCTGTCTTTTTATTTTCTCCTTAGATAGTCTTTCTCTTCATTTCTGTCTAGGACTCTGTATCTTAAGCTGTGGTATCATCTTTGTTTTGTTTGTTTTTTAAATTAAGTCTCTGGTTGAGCCCTTGTGATGAGTATATTAAATAAATACATTGGGTTTTTTAAAAAAAATTCCTGTGCCCTTTGCCCATGACCTGGGGTAGGCCCCACCCATCTGACACCCAGAGTGGCAGTGGGCCCTGAACAGGAAGCTGTGGGGAGGGTGGGTCAGTGAGAAAAGCCACGGCAACTGTATTTCCCTTTCTCCGCTGCTTGAGGGCAGGGCGCAGGCCCGGTGCCCCACCTGTGGTCCCCTGCACCCTAGCCCGTCCTGGCGCATGTGCCACATCCTTCCTTGGGCTGTCATTAGTGAGCACCTGCTGTGTACCTGGCACGGTTAGCACAGGTGCATGCAGAGCTGAGGGCTAGCCTTGACTTCCAGTGGGAAAGAAACACCCTCGCACACGTGGGCTACTCACCTGCCCCCACTCTTGCCAGCATGAAGGGTGGTCCTGCTGACCTCTGTCTGGACACTCGAGGGTGTCTGTGCCTCTGCATGTATATGTGTGAATGCACCTGTGGGCATGTGTGCTGCCCGAGTGTGTGTCTGGGTGTGTACACGTGGGTCTGTATCCCTGCGTGAGCCTGTGTCTCATGGGGAGTTACAGAGACACGAGATCTACGTGCAGGTGTCTCCGTCGAGGTCTGTATGAACTTGCGTGGGAGTGTGCAGTGCGTGTGCGCTTGTGCATGGGTGTCTAAGGACACTTGTGTGAGCACACCTATGTGCACCTGTGGATCCTGTGCGTGTATACATATGCACGTGTGTGTGCCCCTGTGAGTGCATGTGTACTCATGCCCACGAGTGTGCAGGTGTGGGGCTGGTTCGTCTGGTGTGTGCTGAGCCCTGGTGGAGCAGGAAGGCAGAGGTCCTGTCTTGGGCAGCCCTAGGGAGTGGGTGTGAAGGGCGTGTCTGCAAGGCTCCTGAATCTTCCAGGAGGCTCTTTCCCTCACAGACACACTGGTGTGTGCCTGTGCCTCACGGTCCTGTGGGTTCTGGGAGGCCGGGGCTGTGTGGGACTGAGCTGCCAACTCGGGCTGTGGTGCAATCTGCCAGCCGAGCCCCTTCCGGAGCTGCGGGTTCCTCTGGGTGTAGGGAAGCTGCCCTCTGAGAGAGAACTCCCCTGCTGGCAGTCTGGGGGCCTCCGGGAGGGCAGGACACACTACCCAGCCCTGCAGCCTCACCCACAGGAAGTGCTGGGGTTGGGGGGCAGGCAATGGGGGAGGGACCGCGCTGGGTGTCCCACGCTATGCCTGTGGCCCCACTGACCCGGCTGCGCCGCCACGGCCCTTTGGCCAACAGCCCTGGGAACATCGCTGGGACCTGGGGCCTGGCGGCTACAACCATGTTTCGCAGGAAGCGCAGTGTCTCCTTTGGGGGCTTCGGATGGTAGGTGATGAGGGAGGGCAGCTGAAGGGATGGGAGTGAACCTAGCCGGGAAGCCCTGCGTCTGCTGTGGCTGCCGTGGGAGCGGAGGGCTCGGGCTATGCCGGAGGCCTGGGGGGTGGGGGGCATTTCCCGTGCTGCGGCTGGATGGAGATGGAGGGGCTACCAGATGCCAAGCTTTTCCTCACTGTCCCTGGAGTAGGATCCAGTGAGCAAGCCTGTGCGGCTGGGGTTGAATGTGTGTGTCTCGTCATGTGTTCCTGTGTGTGTAGTGCGTCTGTGATGATTGTGGCTGCGTGTGTGGGGGGCATGTCTGCAGCTGCCCATCTGGGCGCCTGTGTACATACGAGGTACGTGGCTGGCTGCATAGGTGTGTTAGGCATGTGACTACGTGTGCGTTTCTGAGCAGGTGTCTGCACCCCTGGTCTTCCATAGCTTTGTGTGCTCTTGTCCTTGTGTGTGTGACTTTGTGGTGGGGGCGTCTGTGGCCCACTGGAGCTTTGGGCAGCCTCCGCTGGGGGGTGAGCTGTGAGGGGAGGGGCAGGCCTGTCTGCAGAGGTGCCCCCCTCCCCAGCAGCCCATCCCGGCTCTGTCTGAGCCTGAGCTGCTGGCTTTGTGCTCCAGCCTCTGGCCTGGGCCTCGAGGCCACTTTTGCCACTAAGCTTCTGTGAGGACAAGGGAGAGGCGCTTCCCTCCCCAGGGCACCAGAAAATGGGGAGACCGAGGTCAAAGACTTGTCTTCGGTTACCAGCTGCTGACAGCTTCCCCTCAGCTGGGGAACAGGGTCTAGCGGTTTTCATGATCGGTTTCCTTTCAGCTTCTGGGCCTGGGGCGTTGTCAGAGAAAAGGTTCCCACCACCACAGGGAGGTGGCTGGGGGAGCCCTGGTGTGGAGGCTCGTGGGCTGACTGGTGGGCACCCAGGCAAGGGAAAGAGGGAGGGGCCGCAGGGGCCTGGAGGAGGTGGGCTCTGTCTGCTCCTCTGGCTAGTTACGCTTCTGCCTGTGTGCAGCCGTTGACTTCCCTTTCCCTTCTCTCTGCAGGCACTTTGCCTTCCATCCTCTGGCAGGAAGGAGTTGTGGGTGCTGCATGTTTGGCAGTTGGGGAGAGTGGGGATGAGATGGTGCTAGGGCTGGCACAGTGTGGCCTGGTGCCTGCTCACGGGCCCTCCCTGACGCCCACCCCGGGCCAAGGGATTGCTGTGCTGAGCGTGGGCTCTGGGTTCAAATCCGGTCAGGCTGGCTGGGATTGCTACAGGGCAGGGCTCGGCTGAGAGAGGGTTTCCCCTAAAAGCCACACTCCTCTGGGAGCCGGGGGGGGGGGGGGGGGGCGGGGGGACTGTGTGTGGCACATTGCTCATGCTCAGTCCATGCTTATGGAATGACTGAGTGCCCACGACAGGCATTTGGTTAGGGGCTCATTGAGCTTGAGGGGATGGCAGGGCTTCTTGGTGGGGTTGGAGGGTTAGAGTAGGCATCATCTGGAGATGGCTGTCAGCTGGGAGGGTTGGAGACTAAAGTGCAGATTCCTAGAGCCCTGGTCCACTCCAGATGGTGACCAGAATCTCAGGGCCTGGTATTCTAGAAGCTCCATTGGATGCCAGGGTGGAGAACCAGTAGCATTAGGGATAGACACGTGAGGAGAGGGAATGGGGTGGGGCAGGCGGGCAGTGGGGAGGAGAGAGAAGGCGCCAGGGAGAACCTAGGGAGTTTGGCTTTCTGAAAGTGAAAAGCCCAGTGTCTCCGGCTGCCTGCCGCTCTTGTCTCTGGTCTCAGTCCTGCCGAGGCCGTTGGCCCCGCCCTCCCAGGGCCACACCCCAGTGTGGGACCCTGCGGACAGACTGCTGGCTAGTGTGGGTGGGTGCTGGGCCAGAGACTGCTGTGACCCACAGTGCCACCCAGTGGTGCAGTGGTTGGTTGGGAGGGCGCCGCACCAGGAGTCCCGGTTCTAAGCGCTGGCTCCACCTTGACTCATTGAGAAATTCAGATAGGATACTTCCCCTCTCTGGGTCTCAGTTTCCCCATGGGAAAGTGGGGGATTTCCACTTTATCTACAACGTACGGATGTTGTAAGAATTAAAAGAGATTCCTTGAGAAAATATAAAATGTAAGGGCTTGTTGTTGTTAGGTAGCTCTGGTCTACAAATATTGCAGCAGAATGTGGGGATCTGCCCCCTGGATTCACCCTACCCCCATCTGGTGGGCTGAATGGGAGAGGAGGAATATCTGCATGCCAGAGGGATTGGGGGGCCCCATGAGACCCTTGGGGACCAGTTGTGGAGGCTCCATGAAAGGGGCCCAGGATGCAGTGGGGAAGCTGGGAGGGACCTGGGTCGGGAGCCTTGGGGTGTGGCTTGTTTTGCCGCTGAGCACTGAGATCAGAAGGCGTGGGGAGTTTACTCAGAGTGAAAGGATCCCATCTCCCAGCTCAAGGGCTCGGTGCTGACCTGTGATTGCTCGGCCAGCTCTGTGTCCTCCACGCGTGGCCCCTGACACTGCTCCCATCCTGGGGTTGCCCCATAGGAAGCCTGTGGCAAAGCTGAGAGGGGGTGGCTCCTGGAGGGGGTGGCTGGAGGGGGGTGGCTGAAAGCATCCTGGACGTGGCACTGATGGTCATGCTGACGTGGTGGTGGTGACACGGGGGGGGGGTGGTGATGCCGAAGGTGATGAAACGGGGTGGTGGGGATATGGATGGTGATGGAGACAAGGTGGTGTTGATGACATGGGGCTGGTGGTGACACTGGTGGGGGTGATACTGGTGTTCGTGACCCCTAAGCAAGAGGAGACACTGACAGTGGGAATCTCGCCCACATTCTGTCTCTAGAGAGAGGAAGGGGCCCCTTTTACCAGCCATAAGGGCTGGCATATGCAGAGGGTAAAAATAGAAGTGTAGCAGCCCTGCCGTGTCTTCCAGCAAGGGTGGGTGCAGGCTGGGGTGGAGGGGCTGGGGGCCATACAGTCTGCCGTAAATGTGATCTTCTCTGCTCTGAGTTCCATGCCTGACATCCCCACTTGCCCATGCACCCTGGAGCCTGCTGTTGGGTTCTGTCTCAGGTGTGGGGTCTGTCTCCTCGTGTAGATTGGCAGCTCCTGGAACGGGGCCGGGGCGGGGCAGGGGGTCCCCGGTGCTGGCAACTTTCCAAAGTGGAAGCCCAGGGAGTATCACTGTGTTGAATGTCTAGCTGCCAGTGACTGATGGAGCCGGCTCGCAGAGCTCTCTTGTGGAGCGGGGGTAAGGAAGGGAAATGCTGTCTACACGTGCTTGTGATCTCGGGGTGTGGAGTCAGAACCTGGATTCAGACTGGGCCAGTGATGTGATCCTTCTGAGCCTCCGTTTCCTCATCTCTAAAATGGGAGGAATAGCAGGACCTGCCTCCTAGGGTTATGTGTGGCTCCAGCCCTCCCAGAGCTCACAGCCCTCCTTCCTGGGCTGGAGGAGAGCTCCCCTCTGTAGCGGCTGTCCCCTGCAGGGCCCTGTTGGCTTGGTGGTCTGGACTGGCCAAGGGACCTCCCCTGCAGATGCTAGGTGGGAGCCTTCAGCCTTAGCACTGACCAAAGCCTTTGCTTTTCTTTTGGCAGGATCGACAAGACCATGCTGGCGAGCCTAAAGGTCAAGTAAGTAGCCACTTGCTGTTATGCAGTGATTGGGGCTGATGGTAGGCCAGCGCTCCTCTGAGGCCCCCATTTCCCCCTGAATTGTGGGAGACATGAATGGGGCTGTTGCGTTTGTCAGATTCTCCATCTCAGTCTTAGGGGCTTTGGATTAGAGAGGTTGGACCAGGCTCTTGATTCCTGGGGCATTTGGAGAAAGACAAGTGCTGGAATGGAAACAGCAGGTGTCACATGGATGGCAATGTGTTTAGCAGTGTCTTTTAGGCCATAACTTGGGGGTGTAAGAAAGATAATTATGTTTCCTATCATCTTGATTTTTACGTGAAGCCCCAGTTCCATCAGGCTTTCTGACATTCCTACTTACCTGGAAAATTGTGCCACACAGTTCTAGAACCTCATAAAACACCCCAGAGCGTGCGCATGCATGTGTGTATGCGCATGCGTGTGCTGGTGCACATACGTGTGGTCAGTTGGTCATTGAGTCATCTGTTATCAGACACATGTCATCCTGTGAGCCCAGCCTGGGGCTCCCTGAAGCTTCCGCACCAGATCTGGGGTCTGGGAATTGTCTGTCGTGCTTGGCCGTATGTCTGCTCATCTGTCTGGGAAGCCCTGAGCAGACACACCTCTCTCCTGGAACCTCCAGCCGCTCTTCCATCACCATCTTTGCTCCTTTCCACGTGTGTTTCTGGCCAAACCATTTTGTTTGCATCCTGACCCCCTTTCCCCTTCAGACTTTAACAAAGTCAGCTTCCACCTTCATTCCTTCCCTGGGCAGGGAGTGACCAACCACCTGCTCCAACTGAGTGAATTGAAAAGGAGGGGAATTCTAGGAGGAAAAAATAGCATTGGTCACTAGCCCAAAATATGATCCTGCCATATGTGAATTAGCCTGTGCATGAAAAATTCCTCCAATGAGTGTGCTTCTGTGGAGGCAGCTTTTCCCACTTGTAACCCTCCATCTCAGCTGAAAGGTTTTCCAGGCCGGCCTCCCTCTGCCATGCCATTTGGTTGTTAGCACTGGCTCTGTGTGCCCTGGGTACAGGTCCCTGGATAAAGCATGGCTGCTCTTGAGGGTTGGAACATCGGGCGTGAGGCTTCCCACTTCAGCCTGCTTTGCTCAGAAGGGTGAGGGTGAACAGTTAGCAGGGCAGGGATGGATGGCAAACAGTCCCTGCTTTCTGAGAGCTTTCTGTCTCTGTGTAGAATTGGTCAGAGGTCCAGTGGGACCGGTCTTGGAAGACTGCCAGGGGGAGGTAGTCTCTATGGCAGCTCTTGAAGATGGGGTGGGACAATGGGTACACCTGTGCCTGTGCTGGTTGGTGTGGGGTGTGTGTGCCACAGTGCAGTGCAACGTTCAGGGCAAGTCACTCCTGGGCAAGACATTTAACTTCTCCTGACTTCAGTTTTTGTATCCTTTGTCCAGTGGGCACAACGATGGCTGATTTCCTAGAGCTTCTTATCGACAGATTGAGTGGGATTGAGGCATGAAGCAGGGTTACTAAAGGGTGTAGAGTGGTAGGAATAGTTTTTTTTTTTTGGTGCTATTTTGGGTTCCTAGTTCAATTTCACAAGCATTTATTGAGGGCCTGCTTAACTGGTAAAGGTGATGTATGTAACCTGGAAGGGAACTGGTTACAAGGTGGCTGGGGACACTGGCCAGTGTTGAGATTGGGACCCCAGTGTGGGTATCTGGGGGGCAGTTTGAGTGCTTTAGTCCTGGGGAGGTGGTGTTGAGATGATTGTCTGGGACAGTGTGTAGGATTGTATTCTTACTTGTGCCTGGCTAAGATCCTTCTGATTGCAAGAAAGAAAAACTCAGTGTAACCCGGTTAAGCAGAAATTATGGAGAAGATCCCAGGGTGTCTCAGGGAACAGCTGAGAGAGGTGGAGGGGTTGAACAGGGACTGGAAACCCTCCCCAGCAAAATCCCAGCTGGCTTCTTTGCAGTAATTGCTAAACTGACCCTAAGATTCATACGGAAATTTAAGGGTAGTCTTGAAAAAGAAGAACAGAGTTCGAGGACTCTACTTCCTTGTTTCAAAACTTACTACAAGTCTCTAGCATTCAAGAGTTTGGTACTGGTGTGAGGATAGCCATATAGATCAATGAAATAGAATATAGTGTCTGGAAATAAACCCTCACATTTGTGGTCAGTTGATTTTCAACAAGTATGTCATGACAATTCAATGAAGAAAAATAGCTTTTCAACAAATGGTGCTGGGACGACTGTATCCACATACAAAAGAATGAAATGGAGCCCCTCTCTCACACCGTATACAAAAATTAACTTAAAATGGATCAAAGACCTAAATGTAAAAGCTAAAACTATAAAACTCTTAGAAGAAACCATAGATGAAAATCTTTGCAACTTCAAATAAGGCAATGGTTTCTTAGATATGATACCAAAAGCATTGATAAATTGAACTTCACCAAAATTAAAAACTTTCGTCTTACAAAGGACACCATCAAGAAAATGAAAAGACAAACCGCAGAGTGGGAGAAAATATTTGCAAATCACATATCTGATTAGAGACTCATACCTAAGATATATAAAGAACTGTTTCAACCCAATAAAATGACACAAAGACGCATAACACACTTAAAAAATGGGCAAAGAAGGACGCTTGGGTGGCTCAGTCGGTGAAGCGTCTGCCTTTGGCTCAGGTCATGATCTCGGGGTCCTGGGACTGAGTCCCGCATCGGGCTCCCTGCTTCTCCAAAGAAAGCAAATGGACAGTAAGTACTGAAAAGATGTTCAGCATCATTAGCCATCAGAGAGATGCACATCAAAGCCACAGTGAGCTACTCCTTCACACCCACTAGAATGACTATAATCAAAAAGAAGATAATGGCAATCAGAGAAAGACATGTATCATATGACCTCACTGATATGAGGAATTCTTAATCTCAGGAAACAAACTGAGGGCTGCTGGAGTGGTGGGGGGTAGGAGGGATGGGGTGGCTGGGTGATAGACATTGGGGAGGGTATGTGCTATGGTGAGCGCTGTGAATTGTGCAAGACTGTTGAATCACAGATCTGTACTTCTGAAACAAATAATGCAATATATGTTAAGAAAAAGAAAAAGAAGAAGATAACAGGAGAGGAAGAAAAGGGGAGTATGTCAGAGGGGGAGACGAACCATGAGAGACGATGGACTCTGAAAAACAAACTGAGGGTTCTAGAGGGGAGGGGGGTGGGGGGATGGGTTAGCCTGGTGATGGGTATTAAAGAGGGCACATTCTGCATGGAGCACTGGGTGTTATGAACAAACAATGAATCATGGAACACTACATCAAAAACTAATGGTGTAATGTATGGTGATTAATATAACAATAAAAAAATTAAAAAGAAAAAAAAGACAATGGCAAGTATTGGGGAGGATGGGGAGAAACTGGAACCATCATATGCCGCTACTGGGAACGTAAACTGGTGCAGTCGGTTTGGAAAACAATCTGGTAGTTTCTCAAAAGGTTAAAGGTAGAGTTACCAAATGACCAGCAATTCCTTTCTTAAGTACATATCCAAGAGAAATGAAAATATATGTTCATGTAGAAACTTGTAACACAAATGTTCGTAGCATTATTTTTTTTCAAAGATTTTATTTATTTATCTGAGAGAGAGAGAGAGACAGAGAGCATAAGCAGGGGGAGTGGGGAGGGAGAAGCCGGCTTCCCGCGGAGCAGGGAGCCCTATGTGGGGCTTGATCCCCGGACCCTGGGATCATGACCTGAGCCAAAGGCAGATGCTTAATGACTGAGCCACCCAGGCGCCCCTGTTCGTAGCATCATTAATAATAACTCAAAGTGGAAACAACCCAGGGCGCCTGGGTGGCTCAGTCGGTTAAAGGTCTGCCTTCGGCTCAGGTCATGATCTCAGGGTCCTGGGATCGAGTCCCGCATCGGGCTCTCTGCTCGGCAGGGAGTCCGCTTCTCGCACTCTCTCTGTCTCCCCGTCTCCTTCTGCCCCTCCCCACTGCTCGTTCTTTCTCTCTCCCAAATAAATAAATTAAATTAAATCTTAAAAAAAGGTGGAAACAACCCAAATGTTCATCAACAGATGGATGGGTAAACAAAAGGTGACATATTGATACAATGGCATATTATTTGGCCATCCAAAGAAATCAAGTACTGATACGTGTTACAACATAGATGAACTTTGAAAACATTATGCTAAGCGAAAGTCACAAAACACCACACACTGCGTGATTCCCTTTATAGGAAATGTCTGGAATAAGCAAATCCATAGAGACAGAAAATAGATTTGTGATGTCCTAGGGTTGAGGAGGTTGTTGGGGGGACCAAGGGGAGTGAGTGCTAAAGGATACAGGCTTCTTTGTGGGGTGGTGTAAGTGCCCTGGGCCTAGATAGTGGTGACGGCACCACCAACTTCATGAATACACCCAAAACCGTGGAATTGTACAGTTTTAAATGATGAATTGTATGATCTATAAATTACATCTCAGTAAATCTTAAAAAAGAGGGAGCATCTTACTGGCCCAGCCTCGGGTCAGTCAGTTTAGCTGGAGAGATGGGGTTTTATGGATAAACCAGGGCTGTTGTGGCCATCTCTGTCTGTGGGAGGGGTTAGTTCGCAGACAAGGAGGGTGGACTGTGGGCTGGGCAGACACCATAGGGGTCTTATCTAGCCACCCCCACTCCCCTTGGCACTAAAAGTGCATTCAGTCCCCGTTCTTCCGTCCTTCTTCCTCCCCCCATTGATGGCACCGAATATGGAGTTCTGCCTGGATGCCCAGGATGTGGCCCTACTCACTGATGTGTCCATTGGGCCACCAACTCCACAGGCTACAGGTCTCCTAGAAGCGCCAGGAAGCCACTTTCCCTCTGCCTCTGCTGGGTGAGACGTCTTTCTCTCTACTAGTGTAACCCCAAACACGCCCGGGCCGTGGCCTGCGCTTCCAGTCGCCTTGGCTCCTTCTCCGGGGACCTGGTCCTGTGCACACAGTCAGCCACATACCTCCTGGAGGTGTCCCTGAGGCACA